TGGGGGGTCCTGCATAGAGGGTAACCGCGGCAGATTCACATTAGACCTCGCCATCCCTGGGGGGCTGCGATCTGCGAAACTGTCGCCATTTTCGAGGCCTGCTGGGGGGTCCTGCATAGAGGGCAACCGCGGCAGATTCAAATTAGACCTCGCCATCCCTGGGGGGCTGCGATATGTGAAACTGTCGCCACTTTCGAGGCCTGCTGGGGGGGTCTTGCATAGAGGGTAACCGCGGCAGATTCAAATTAGACCTCGCCATCCCTGGGGGGCTGCGATCTGTGAAACTGTCGCCACTTTCGAGGCCTGCTGGGGGGGTCCTGCATAGAGGGTAGCCGCGGCAGATTCAAATTAGACCTCGCCATCCCTGGGGGGCTGCGATCTGCGAAACTGTCGCCATTTTCGAGGCCTGCTGGGGGGCCAGCACAGTGAGGGCCACGGGCAGATTCAAATTAGACCTCGCCATCCCTGGGGGGCTGCGATCTGCGAAACTGTCGCCATTTTCGAGGCCTGCTGGGGGGCCCAGCACAGTGAGGGCCACGGGCAGATTCAAATTAGACCTCGCCATCCCTGGGGGGCTGCGATCTGCGAAACTGTCGCCATTTTCGAGGCCTGCTGGGGGGCCCAGCACAGTGAGGGCCACGGGCAGATTCAAATTAGACCTCGCCATCCCTGGGGGGGCTGCGATCTGCGAAACTGTCGCCATTTTCGAGGCCTGCTGGGGGGCCCAGCACAGTGAGGTCCACGGGCAGATTCAAATTAGACCTCGCCGTCCCTGGGGGGCTGCGATCTGCGAAACTGTCGCCATTTTCGAGGGCTGCTGGGGGCCCCAGCGCAGTGAGGGCCACGCGCGGATTCAAATTAGACCTCACCATCCCTGGGGGGCTGCGATCTGCAAAACTGTCGCCATTTTCGAGGCCTGCTGGGGGGCCCAGCACAGTGAGGGTAATCGCCGCGGATTCAAATTAGACATCGCCATCCCTGGGGGGCTGCGATCTGCGAAACTGTCGCCATTTTCGAGGCCTGCTGGGGGGCCCAGCACAGTGAGGGCCACGGGCAGATTCAAATTAGACCTCGCCATCCCTGGGGGGCTGCGATCTGCGAAACTGTCGCCATTTTCGAGGCCTGCTGGGGGGCCCAGCACAGTGAGGGCCACGGGCAGATTCAAATGAGACCTCGCCATCCCTGCGGGGCTGCGATCTGTGAACCTGTCGCACTTTCGAGGCCTGCTGTGATCCCCGTTTTCGAAGTGGCTAGGAGTGCTCAGGAATTGTAAATCATCAGCTTTATCAAGCCCTTTTCCTGTAGCCAGTGTCCTGCGAGTCTCCCGAATTCCGTCTGCAGACATATGTACCCTCGCTCCGTCATCGCCCCCTTATAAAATATCCTAAACTATTTGCGCCCCGCTTTTGCGCAGGGGTTTGGGTACGTCGCCGGGTAATTCCCCAACCCTCCGTGGTTGGTATTCGTTTTGGACTTAGAGCAGTGTGGTCGCGTATTCTTCCCGCCTTCCCTTCCTGCCTCAGCCTTGCCTCTTCCTGTATTGCCCTGGTGAGGGCTGCGATCTGTGAAACTGTCGCCACTTTCGAGGCCTGCTTGGTGGTGTCCTGCATTAGAGGGTATAATCTCGGCGGTTCAAATTAGACCTCGCCATCCCTGGGGGGCTGCGATCTGTGAAACTGTCGCCACTTTCGAGGCCTGCTGGGGGGTCCTGCATAGAGGGTAATCGCGGCGGATTCAAATTAGGCCTCGCCATCCCTGGGGGGCTGCGATCTGTGAAACTGTCGCCACTTTCGAGGCCTGCTGGGGGGTCCTGCATAGAGGGTAATCGCGGCGGATTCAAATTAGACCTCGCCATCCCTGGGGGGCTGCGATCTGTGAAACTGTCGCCACTTTCGAGGCCTGCTGGGGGGTCCAGCATGAGGGTAACCGCGGCGATTCAAATTAGACCTCGCCATCCCTGGGGGGCTGCGATCTGTGAAACTGTCGCCACTTTCGAGGCCTGCTGGGGGGGTCCTGCATAGAGGGTACCGCGGCAGATTCAAATTAGACCTCGCCATCCCTGGGGGGCTGCGATCTGCGAAACTGTCGCCATTTTCGAGGCCTGCTGGGGGGCCCAGCACAGTGAGGGCCACGCGCGGATTCAAATTAGACCTCGCCATCCCTGGGGGGCTGCGATCTGCGAAACTGTCGCCATTTTCGAGGCCTGCTGGGGGGCCCAGCACAGTGAGGGCCACGCGCGGATTCAAATTAGACCTCGCCATCCCTGGGGGGCTGCGATCTGCGAAACTGTCGCATTTTCGAGGCCGGCCTGCTGGGGGGCCCAGCACAGTGAGGGCCACGCGCGGATTCAAATTAGACCTCGCCATCCCTGGGGGGCTGCGATCTGCGAAACTGTCGCCATTTTCGAGGCCTGCTGGGGGGCCCAGCACAGTGAGGGCCACGCGCGGATTCAAATTAGACCTCGCCATCCCTGGGGGGCTGCGATCTGCGAAACTGTCGC